TTCTTCAAGCCTTAACCAACACCATAGAATTCACACTGGTGAGAAACCTTACAAATGTAAATGTGGCAAAGCTTTTAATAATTCTTCAGCTCTTACTCAGCACCAAAGAACTCATACTGGAGAGAGACCATACAAGTGTGAAGAATGTGGCAAGGCCTTTAACAATTGCTCGGCCCGTACAAGACACCAAAGGATCCATACTGGAGAAAGACCCTATAGGTGTGCACACTGTGGCAAGACCTTTAATTTTCCCACATCACTTTCTCAACACCAGAGAATTCATACTGGAGAGAAACCCTATAAATGTGAAGAGTGTGGCAAAGCATTTAATTGTTCTTCACATCTTAAACAACACCGTATTATTCATACTGGAAAGAAACCCTACAAATGTAAAGAATGTGGCAAAGCTTTTAACTGTTCTTCAAGCCTTAACCAACACCATAGAATTCACACTGGTGAGAAACGCTACATATGTGAGGAATGTGGTAAAGCCTTTAACAATTGTTCAGCTCTTACTCAACACCAAAGAATTCATAGTGGAGAGAAACCATACAAGTGTCAAGAATGTGGTAAGGCCTTTTATAATTGCTCAGCCCTTTCTCGACACCAAAAAATTCATACGGGAGAAAAACCCTATAAATGTGCAGATTGTGGCAAGGCTTTTATTTTTCGCTCATCACTTTCTCAGCACCAGAGAATTCATACTGGAGAGAAACCCTACAAATGCAAGGAATGTGGCAAAGCCTTTAACTGTTCTTCACACCTTAACCAACATGGAAGAATTCACAGTGGAGAGAAACCTTATAAATGTGAAGAGTGTGGCCAGATGTTCATCTGTTCTTCATACCTACATAAGCATCAGAAGATTCATAGTATTGAGAAACTGTATGAATGCAAAGAATGTGGTAAAACCTTCAGCTGTTCTTCATACCTTAAGTATCATCTGAGATTTCATACTGGCGGGAAATCCTACACATGCAAAGAATGCAACAAAACCTTTAGGTCATCTTCATACCTTAGGAATCATCAGCGATTTCACACTGGAGAGAAACCCTACACATGCAAAGAATGTGGCAAAGCATTTGTTAGTTCTTCAAGCCTTCTTGTACACCAAAGGATTCACACTGGAGAGAAACCGTACAAATGCAAAGAATGTGGCAAGGCCTTTAGGTGTTCTTCATATTTTAAGTATCATCAAAGACTTCATACTGGAGAGAAACCATATATATGCAAGGAATGTGGAAAGGCCTTTGCTAAATCTTCATGTCTTATTCTACACCAAAGAATTCATACTGGTGAAAGGCCCTACAAATGTGCAGAATGTGGCCAGGCATTTATCTGTTCTTCATACCTGAGGAAGCACCAGAGAATCCATTCTGTTGAGAAACCCTATACATGTGAAGTATGTGGCAAAGCTTTTAGCATTTACTCAGCCTTCATTCAACACCAGAGAATTCATACTGGAGAAAAACCTTATAAATGCAAAGAATGTGGAAAAACATTTAATTATCGTTCAGCCCTAATTAAACATCAAAGAATTCATACTGGAGAGAAACCTTACACTTGCAGAGACTGCAGTAAAGCCTTTAATAATAGCTCAAGCCTTCTTCGACATCAACGAATTCATAATAGAATTGAAACCCTAGAAATTCAAGGAATATGGCAAGGCCTTTAATAAAAGTTAACTCTTAGCTCCAAAAACTGAGAAACAGTGGAATGGAAAAAAGGTGACTAATTAATAAATGTTCTATACATATACAATATTAAAAACTCATGCATGAAAGAAACCCTACAAGTTCAAATAGTGTTGCAAGTCTCTTAAGTCTTCTTCACGTCTTTCTTGACAGCAGAGAATTTGTATTTGGAAACCCTACAAATATACATAATGTATCAAGGTTTTTAATGAATGTGCACTCTTCATCAATGAATTTAGGCTTCATAGAAATCTTATCTGTTTCTTGGCTTGGGGAAGAATGCTGTCCAGTATTGGAGGACATTGTCTTATGAGTATAGCATTTTAATGAGTATGAGAATTACTGTAGATGACAAATCTTATGAATATATAGAATAATGTAAAAATGAAACAAATATTGCTTATAAAGTAGGGGCATTTGACATGGTAGAAATAAATCATCATAGACATCAGAATAGTGTGCACAATTTATCTCAGTAAGGATATGAATTTGTTAATGAAGCTGTACTTACTATGTATCCTTGTTTGAAAATGGAAGTTAGCATAACTCTCAGATTGTGTCAAAAGAATAAAACTAGTTCCTGTTTGATTTTAGTCTAGTTTTTTTTTTCCTCAGAGAACATACAGTAGATATAAAATAGAGATTGTGTGTGAAGCTTACTTTAAATAAACAAATTTGAGCAGTTCATGTGTAGTGTTTTTGTTTTTATGGGTAACATATTATTCTATCATAGACTTTATAGTATTCCTCCTTACTAAGGGAGGCAGGGGACAGATTTCAGTTGTCTACTGCTGAGAATTATTTGAACAATTGGTCATTGTATCTCAGGTGCCAGTGTCTTTCAAATGATTTTGAGGCTATTATTTAATATGTTACATATTTGTTTATCCCCTTCTATGGTAACTAGTAATTATGAAATTTTAGTAGGGTAATTATATCCTAGGTTTCAGAATCTTGAATTTTATTACTATTTATAAAATTTTACTATATGTATGTGCATGCATACATATATATATACATATAATAATATTTGTATGTGTATACGTATATAAAAATTTTATTATATGTACATATATACATAGACATATATACATGTAGTAAAATTTGTATATATATAGCCATGCCACCAGTTTCAAATATGTATATATGCATATGTATATACCAATTTTACTATATGTATATGTACATGTATGCATAATACATACATACATATATGTATATAGGCATATACATATATGCATATAGTTATGTGTATATATACACACACAAACAGATATATACATATTTGAAAATGGTGGCATGGTATATAACCATGACCTATAAAACCTACTCAAATCTTGGCGATTTATGACATTGTCGAAATATCCTACTTCTACAATCAAATAAACCGGAGGAATTAAGAGAACATTTGAAGCACCATGTGAATGTACACGCTTTTACATAACTGTAGCTGGCCTGCCTGGCGGGAATTGATACAGTGTAAAGGAAACACTGGCCTCCTGTCTTTGTTTTTCAAGCTATTGCAATTTATTCAAGAAATTAGAATTTCCATAAGAATATCCTGCTGGGAGAAGAAAAAGCCTTGTGGCATCCAAAGGGGAGACTTGCATTTTGGAGAAAGACTTAGTTTGTCTGAGACTTAGCTTTTTTGGAAAGACTAACCGAGCAGGAGAGACATGGATCTGTGACTCTAGTGGGCAGGGGATCACTTCTTGGCTGTGACTGTAGTGGGCAGGGGATCACTTCTTGGCTGGACTGCTTAGTTCTGTGTCTCTTTTGCCTTCTATTTAAATTGTGCCATTGTGTTAAGATTCTGAAGATGGACTGGCAAGTTACTGGAATCCTTTTTTTTTTTTTTTTTTTTTTTACTTTTTCTAGTGTGGTTACATTGAGTATGTCTTTTTATTTTTTTAGCTTTTGCTTTTCACTATTAATTTGAGTGTTAGTTGCTACTTGGATTATAGCAATGGGTAGCAGAACCTGGCTAGTTGAAACACAGAATGTAAGAGCAAAGAGAAATTATTGAAATAAAAGTTAATTTTGAAATAGTTGACACTCTAGAAAACTTTTTAAAATTTATTTTTATTTTAATTAATTACAGTTTATTCACTTTGTATTCCCCCTGTAGCTCCCTCCCACCTCCCCTCCCAGCCCCACCCTCTCTCCCTCTCCCCCACCTGTACCCCTAACCAAGCCACTGATAAGGAAGGTCCTCCTCCCCTTCCCTCTGATCCTAGTCTTTCAGGTCTCATCAGGACTGGCTGCATTGTCTTCCTCTGTGGCCTGGTAAGGCTGCTCCCCCCTGAGGGGGAGGTGATCAAAGAGCAGGCCAATCAGTTCATGTCAGAGACAGGCCCTGTCCCCATTATTTTGTTACTCACTTGGACACTGAACTGCCATGGGCTACATCTGTGCAGGGGTATTAGGTTATGAGTGGTCCTTGGCTGGAGTATCAGTCTCAGAAAAGACCCCTGTGCCCAGACTTTTTGGATCTGTTGCTCTCCTTGTGGAGCTCCTGTCCCTTCCAGGTCTTGCTATCTCTAGAAAACTATTAACAACACTTTTTTTTTTTCTTTTTCTGAAAGAGACATACAAAACACACACACACGTGCACAAATTTCCTCGGAATGGCATGGTTCTCGGCTTTACTTCTTTTAATGGTAATTCTCATATCTTATAGGGGAAACCATGCATCAGGTAATATAGCACATTGTCCAAGTTTACAAAATGTGTTTTGGCCAGCTTAGTGCTTTTATGAATATTTCAGTGGTTTTTAATGGTTTTCAGAAGTTACTTTGAAAATTTAATCCCAGTGTTTCCATATGTGGATACATTGTCTTTCATCATTATATATTTTCTTTTCAGCACAATAATTTCAGTCATTTTTTTTTTTTTACTTGTTCCCATCAGTTTGATAAGCTACATCTTAATATTCAGTAAGTTTACTGACTCAGTTTATTCAGGTGAAAATTGGGAAGGTTTCATATATCTTGGGGTTCTGTGAAAATGTGTGTGGAAGAATCACAGTGCAGGCATATAGTGGAGGTTAAATGGGCTTAGAAAGCTCCACGGGCTCCAAGGACAGAGGCAGTGGTGGGGAGATCCCACCAGGGAAAGAGGGAGCAGTAGGAATGGCCAACTATGATGAAGGCATGGCCAACTGTGATGAAGCTGAAACCTGTGTGGGGGACGCAGGTGTGCAGAAAAGAAAAGAGATTGCGTTTCATAGGTGATCTTAGGAGAGGATTGTGAGAGAACCGAGTAAGGCACATAGGACATCTCTTCAGCAGCTGAGGGGCTTGTGACAGGGCATGAAGTCTAGACACAGAATTTCTGAGTAATATGCCAAGGTATGAGAAAATGACATGTAAGTATAGGATATAGTTATAGTTTAATGTGCCACTAACCCACCAGTGTTCTTATCCTTGGAGTGGGTTAAAAGGTGAAGTTTTGTTTCAAAGGAAAATAAGATGGGTGATCTGGCTTTTTTTTTTTTTTAAGAGTTTGAGTACCAAACTTAGACTAGATTTTTAGACTGTATCCCAGGATTGACATCTGAGGGAATAAGTGATACAGGATCCATTGCAGTTCCTACTAGAAGTGCAAGGGTTTCTCTTAAAAGTCCACTAGGATGTCTATCATATGTTGGTGTCAGGATTGAGATCCAGATGCATAACACTGACATTACTGAGATGTGCTCAGATGGGTTGACTCCATGCAGAGAGATCTCTTGGCTTCTGGATCTGAAACACAGTTTTACTCCAGATCCAAACACATCTAGTGGCTCAGGCCAGACTGTCCTTAAAGGAATACTTGCAGACTTCATTTAGTTCATAGACAATTTCATACGTGTATGTAATGCTTTATGGTTACTCTTTACTTTATCATTCATCATACCTTTCACTTGCCTTTCTTCCTGCTGATCTCTCGGCCAAATTCCTTACTGTCTTGGTTGGGTTACATTGTTGTTTTGCTCTGTTTTTCTTTTGTCAACTTGTTTTATAAACCTAGTCATATCTGGGAAGAGGGAGGGTGAATTTTGAGAAATGCTTCTATAAGAGTGGCCTGGAGGCAAGTCTGTGGGGGCATTTCCTTGGTTATGATTGATGTGGGAGGATTCAGCCAGTCGGGGTAGTGTCACCTATGGGCAAGTGGTCCTGGGGCGCATAAGAAGGCACACTGAGGAAGCCATGGGAGCAAGCCAGTAAGCAGCGTTCCTGCATGTCCTGTGCTTCAGTTCCTGCCTCCACGTCCCTGCTGTGTGAGTTTCTCGATGAACTATGATATGGAATTGTAAGCAAAATAAACCCCTTTCTTCCCAAGGTTCTTTGGTCATGCTGTTTTATAACAGTGATAGAAGCCTTAAGTAAAACAGAAATTGATACCATGACTGGGGTGTTTATGTGACAAACTTGACCATGCTTTTGGGAGGGTTGTGGAACTTTGGACTAGAAAAGCCATCCATTGTTAACAAACTATTTCTGGAACGTAGACAATAATGTTGAGATCAATGTAAATGATAGAAGTCCAGCTTGTGATTTTAAAAGGGAAGTTTTGACAGTCGCATAAACATTATTCAGACCATTTGATATTTTGAATTAAGATTTTGTGGTTCAAGTTAACCGAGGTTGAAAAATTGCCTGTGGTTAAAAAGACAAGATCCACTAAGGTGAATATTTTTTTTTTTTCTAGAATAATCAATACTGGTCAGCTGGGGTCGAAGAATTCAGAGAACAAACACCACCATCACTGAAGCAAACTCTAGTTAATGTTTCTGCAGAGTAATTGCACAGAAACTGTTCCAGAGGTGGACAGAGTTGAGTGGATTTCGTAGGTCAAAGGGTGGCTAATAATACTCTATAGTGACACGTGCACTCGAGCACACATAGCCCTGCACTCACACACATGAATGCATGCACATGCACATATGCATAGACACCACAAACATTTAAAAAATCGTCTGAGGACCAGCACCCATCTGTCTCTGCTCCCTCACTGTAGACACAGAGTGACCATTATCTCAAGCTCTTGTCATCGTGCCTTCCCTTCCACGATGGACTAAGTGCTCAAGCTGAGTGAAAGTGAACCTCCCAGAAGTTTGTGAGGCACCTCATCGGGGTAACAAGAGTTGTCATTAATATAAAAAAGTTATTGTAAACCTATATGGTGGCACTCCCCTACATACAATCCAAGTAGTTAAAAGGTAGAGACAGGAAGATTGAGGATTCTTGGCAATTACTCTGCTTCTTTAATTTTTTTTTGTGCTATTTAATTTGAGAAAAGTTCCAAATTACCCACCTGCTCTTGAAGTTACTCAGAAGCTCACACAGCTCCATGAGTTAAAGCGACCCTCATGCTCAAGGCTCCCGAGTAGCTGAGAAAACCAGCCAGGCAACATGAAACTTAGATAAAGATAAATCATCTTAAAGTGGTAGTGACCTATTTGTTTCCTGTGTAAGTTCTTTAAAGTAACCTTGAGCCAAGGTGAATTTTCCATGCTGTAATAAGATTGTGTAGTAAATAGACTCTAAAGACTTTTTTTTTTAATTTGTTTTTGAGGCATCTGTGTGTTGGAAAGTGGGGGATGTCCTGGTGTGTATGAGAGCAGGTGTTCACAGTGGTCAGAAGAGGATGTTGGCTTCCTTGGAAGCTGGGCTTACAGGATGTTGTAAGCCATCTGATGTGGG